GAGAGTCCTCTGGTGGAATAAATAAAATGATAAATAAAATTTATAAAATTTTAAAAGAAAAATACTTTAAAATATTTTATATTTTTTTTAATGAAATAAAAAAAATATCTATATTTTAAGTTTATGAATAACAAAATGAAAACAAAAATCAAAACAAATTTATTGCATAATGTATATATTTAATAAAATTTACATAACTTTTTAATGTGTCATATACATCTGTACAAGTACATTATCAGTATTTTCTATTCTAAATGACATTTATTCTTTATTTTATATTTTAAACTGCACAATAAAATCAATGTTCAATGACCAAATTATATAATCAATATTAATCAATTATTATGATTTTTAAAAATAAATGCACATACAATTTAAATTATAGTTCAGAACAAGAAAATTATTTCTAATTTATTAATTAAGTAACTTCAATATTACTGATTTGCATATGCATCATTGCTAAATGGTTTGCTTTATTTTTGTTTTATTAAGAGTAACATTTAATTTCAACTAATTTAAAAATTTCAATCATCTGATTAAAAGTAAAATCTAGAAAACTAAATTGTTATCGATCCTTTAAACTGATATTGTTAAACATTTATTAATTTTTGTGACTCATATTAAAATTTAAAATGAATATTTATAAACAGACTATTAAAAGAATCACCCTACCTTTTAATCTGTTTTATCAATTGAATTATAACTTTGTAACTCACTGTCATAAATATCTCAATTTAAAAATATATAAAAGATATATTACACAAAGAAATCTAAGATAATGTAATTGATGGCATTACTAAGTTTTATTTTGCTACATAAAACTTTTTGAATTTCGATATTCTACTGAAAAGTTGGCATAGATATTTAGGATATTTTCAACTGTGGATTTATGGGGGGAAAAATTATGGTTACATTTTATGTAGCCCTTTTGAATGAATTATTTGTAATATGTTTTTAAAATAATAAAGCCAACCATTGCCATATGCCATTAGGCTATATAATGGCTGTATTAATAATAAATTACCAAAAAATTTTACCCTAGAGGGAGGCATTAGGTGCCATCTCGTAATAATGTGGTTGGCCTTTATTATTATAATGTATCAGGCTTTTATAGAGTTGTTTGTCTAATATGTTTTTATAATTACAAATCTAAGTTTTGATAATAAATAAAGCATATGTTGTCATAGCTATATGATTTTCTGTAGAGTACAATTAAACATACAAAAATTGTTCTGAATAAATTACTTTCTACAACCACAAACATATATAGGAAAGAATTACCATATATTTCCACAGATAAGACAAGGTATGAATTTTTGTCACAGTTTTATAGTTTTACCATATATCTGTCCTATAAGACAACCCCTCAAACTATCAATGGCCTATGAATTTAGTTTAGATCAGCAATCATCATCTGGATAATAATACTGTATAGCATATATGGAATTATGTCCTATTTGTAATTTTTTGAATGAACAAATTTTATTTTCTTGCATCTGGCAGCACTGCCTTGTGATTGTTGCAAACATTCATACTCATTTGGGCATTCGGTAATGACCAACTATTCACAAAAACATCGTATGGGCTATTCTATTTTGCGGACATACCCTACTCTGTACTAATAAATAATTACAGTTTGTCCGTTTTTTTTTTTTTTTTTAATGATGGTTTTAATTTATATAAATTTCAATCTAATTTTTTTGTATCTGTCCTATAAGACAACCCTGGATTTTGAGAGCCTTTTTTATGATTCAACTATTGTCTTATCTATGGAAATATACACTAATTCACACATCACTGGCTGAGAAACATTTTGTTCTAATTTCATTTTGCATACTTTAAGATTAATACCTTAAAATATGCAAAATAAAGTTAGAACAAAACGTTTCTCAGTTGCACAAATATGTTAATAGAACACATCAAAATTTTATAATCATTCTAATTGATATAAGATTAGTTTTACAAATAGACTTTTTGAAAAATTATTCAATATTATAATGAATAAAATTTCTTACTTGATATGTCTGTTTGATAATTTGTTTTATCAAAACTTTGTTCATCCTATAATTAAGAAAAATATATTTTATTTATGTAATATACTTAATAAATATAAACACTAGAAAAAATTAAATTTTTCTTTAAATTTGCTTCATAATTAAATATTTAAATAATTTCAAGATTACTACCTCATCATTTTCCTCCTCCTCCTCTTCAAAATCTGTATCCCAATAATCAAAATAATTCTCATCTAGCAAAGTAGAAATAAATAATTTTTATGTATCTAACATTTATATTACTTATTAATATAAACAATATCCTTAACTAAAATGTTCAACATTAAATAATCAGCATAGCAATTTAAATTCTGTTGCATTTATTAGGTTGTAAAGGTAAAATTTAGACAATTTGAAAAAGAAACTTTATTGACAATTAACTCAATAATGATTACAGTTCAGTCTTTCAGGTAATCATCATCATCAATTACATCTTTCCACCTTTGCTGCAAACTTTCAATCCCATAAGCTTAGAATGATAGGTTTTTCTTTGAAGTGTCATTCTCAGATGGATATTGTCACTGATCTGTATATTGGATATATGGTTCTGCAAGGCATGAAATAGATCATGGATGGGCAACCGACAATCTTTTTCTATGTAAAGGCCACATTTAAAAGTTTTAAACCAATGTGGGCTGCACACATGAAAAAAAATGGGGGTAAATCACATTTATTCATTCATGTATGATTATAAATTAACATACATATACTTAATTTGACTTCTGTCACTGATGTGAACATAATATATCTGAAATATCTGAATATTAGTCACTGCTAGTTTTAAATTAATTTTGATGGAGTCTGTTAGCCAATTTCTTGTTTTACTTTTTACTAAATTTTTACTAAGTTGTAGAAAATAATGAAAGAATTTCTGCTGCATACTTCCTTAAGTTTCGAAATGAATATATTTATTAATATTTTGTGCAATGTGTGTGGCATGTAGCCCAGGGCCACAGGTTGACTACCCCTGAATTAGATGATGGTCAGCTGGCACAAAGTCTGGGCTGTAAGGTGGATGAGTGTAGATGAGGCAGAATCTCCCAGCCAAAACTGACCAGCTTCTCTAAGGTTATTTTTGCTCTATGTGCTGGCATATTGTCATAGTGGTATCAGACTGTCAATTTTTGGAGCATATGGGAACACCCAAGTTGTGCTCAAGTTAACACAACACTCAAGTGTAACAAGTTAAACTTCTCTGATGTTCAATTGTCAATCATCATCTTATTAGTTGCAGATCTTCATCAGTGGTGGAATCCTACTTGGAAGGGATTCATCTTGAAGAAAGAAATCTCCATTCTTGAACCAATTATAGCAGGTTTGCCTGCTGACTGTGTTCTTGTCAAATGTCTTGCAGATGAGATCGTGAGCCTTTGTTGCACTGTGGTCACTTTTGAAGTGATAGAACAACAGCATGCAAATATATTCTTTTGAAAGTTTCATATTGTCAGATATTACTGATGCATCAATTTCCAATCATTTTATCTATTTCATCACATATTTTACTATATGTGATGAAATTCCTTCAGTTAATCTACTCATATATCCATATCAAACATTCTAGAACATTTCTCCAGTAGTTTCTAGGAAAACCAAAATGTCTGAATTTCACCTTTACAACCTGATACAAATATATTGTCAAAAAAAAATTTTTCTTTTATTTGAAAATTTAAATACAAATTTCTTTCAAGTTTCCAATGTTTTTTTTATTTATGTTATACAGTAGAGCATTGATTATCTGAAACAATTCGGGACTGGGATTGTTCGGATAAGTGATTTTTCAGATAACTGATCATTTACAAAAAATATATTAAACACAAAACTGTACTGTATATATTTTGTATCATACGTCTTACAAATACATATCTTATATAAAGTAGTATATTAAAGTAGGCCTACAGTTTAGGTTGGCAGGAAGGGAAAGACTGCTGCAGCACCTCAGCACTAGCGAGAAATTTGAATTTGCTGACTGAAACACTTTCAGTTAACCAATGTTTTGGTTGATTGGTATTCAGATAATCTATGTTCTACTGTATATATACTGCATTGTGGAAAATAATATTCCAATAAATAAAATACTTTCTTACTGGAACTACACTATAAATAAAAATCAAAACTTTTAAACAATCCAGCAAATCATTTTTTAATATCTTAAAAACGCTTTCAAACGCTTTAAGTGATCATCCTCAGTTATCATTTTGAATCGAACGAAGAATTCGAAATTATGTGAAACAAAATTCAAAAAGCGGTTACATAAATGTATGTTAACATTTACCAAGTTTAAATAATTGCAAAAATTATACAAGTTAATTAAATTGAAACAAAGAAATAAAATAAAATATATACATTCAGTAAAAATTATCTTAATTATTCTTCCCGCTTACATAAACCACATCAACTCATCATAGAAGGATTTCCATGCCAATGACAATCCGACAGCATCCCTATGATTAATACAGTTTGTGTGCAACTGCACCTTGTGAATTTCTAGTTTTTCCAGATGTTTTATGGCCTGCCTGGATCTTGTAGCTTTAATGACGCCCGATCCCAAAAGACCTCGATATTCCGCTGCTTGGCAAAGACAGCAAGCACCGTAAAGTCTACGTTTTTATTTACCGAGTGCTTATGTTCAGCAATTCTTTTCTTTAAGTTTCTCATGGTTGTTCCTATGTATACCAAATTAGAATTAAATCTATGGTCTTTTAACGGTATTGAGTATACCCCTGCCATTGTGTTGCGTTCGTAACTGCCTTTATCGTTCCTTAAGAGCCTGTATACGGTGGGATTACGCTTGTAAATTATCTGTATGTTCTTATTTCTGGTAATTTTCTTAACCATTCCTTTGAGGAACGGTATGTAATTAAGCACGATTCTTTCTTTACGCTGATTCCCTCCCTGAGAGGGGTGGCACTTCCGACAATTCGCAATGAGAGCATCTATTCTTTCTCTACAATGTCCCTGCTGTATCGCTACGTTTCGTATATAATCCAATTCTTTGTAAGTGTCGTAGATGCTGGTGCAATGCGTGTGTGCCCTCATCATCCATGAACGAAAAACGGCGATTTTTATATACTCAGGGTCTGCGGAGTTCCTAGGAATGATGATAGGAAGATAAGTGGGTTTCCGGTATATGTCTGTTCTGATTTCCCCTTCTTTGCAAGTTATAGATAAATCCAAAAAATTAACATTGTTTCCACTTTCCTGCTCTAGCGCCAGGGTTAATCCATATGGGTTGTCATTGATCAGATCTAAAAATTGGTTAACTCTGCAATTATCCTTCCATAAAATAAAGATATCATCTACATATCTTGCGTAAGTCAATATGTCTTCCTGGAACGAGGGGATTATATCGTTTTCGAGTTTACGCAACACTAATTTGCTGGATTGTTTAAAGGTTTTGATTTTTATTTAAATAATATTTCTCATTAAAGAAATAAACTACTTTTAATTTTTATTGAATTATTTTATAAATTAATTTAAAAAGCTACCAATTTATAAAGTCTTATCCAAAGAACTTTTTTTTTTATTTAACATGTATTATAGTATAAAATTAATGTATTTCTAAAAGTTATCAATATTCATAATATTATTAACATACATCAATGATCTAGAGCAAAGTTCTTCAACCTACAGCCTGTAAAGCTTTTTTTCGTTTTATCAACAACATTTTGAACTAGTTCAAATCAAAAACTTTTTAAAAGTCCATCAGAATTAACAGACCATACAACATACGAATTTTATAAAAACCCATTTAAATAAAGGAGTTTGTAAAATTTTTACAAATCTCTAAAAAAAAAGATAATTGTTCTGTGCAAACTTAAGACTTAAACATATTTTCTATTTTTGCTTCTATATATGTTTCCAACTAAATGTTTTGAAAATGAAACATAAAATTAAAATATATGTTGGACAGTAATGTTTAATATCTAAATGAGATTTTTATATTGGATGCACTTAATTTATCCCTGATTTGTTGACATTCTTTTGAAAAAGCAGTTGCAATTTTACATTGATTTATGGTCATTGTTATTCAGAAATAAAAACAATCTTAATCTAATATTTGATTACATCTCAGACTTGTCTTTAACTGTTCAAATGGGTCTTCTCAGAAAATGGATTGAGAACCCTGATCTAGAGAGAAAAATTTAATGCCAGAATAAACTTCATATCAGAATAATTCAAAGGATTTGAATAATACCAACAATTGTAAATGAAGTTATTGCAGTTACTTAGGGTTTGGTAAATGACATTGCCAAAAGTTTTTTAAACATGTGTAGTAATTTATTTAGAATTATTTACTATGAATTAAGTCTATAGTTAAATATAAGTCCTTGTTCTATGCCAGGATTAGTATTCTGAGATTCTGGTATTAAAACAATAATAATAAAATGTATCTTACTGATATATTATAATTTGTATCTCATTAAAACAAAATGACACACTTTTCAGTATAAAAAACAATTGAAATGACAATATTGAACATGATAATGAGCTATTTTCAGCTGCTTAACTGGAAAAAATGGTTGTATGACTAATTCAGACAGCAAGTCTATTTCATAATATTTAGAAATTTGTAATTCACAGGAAGGTTTACCTAAAAGAATTTAACTTTTTTATTCTTGGAATGTACCACATTGAAAGACAAATTATAATGTGTCTTTTATTTACAATGATTCAACATATTCTAGAAAACAAGTTTCTATTAGACCTAAATGTAAATTGCCAAACACAGTAAATAATCATAAATGCCACTATATCATATAATAATTAAAATATTTTTTGAACTTTCTAAACAACATACAAGGCTTGGAAATAGTATATATTTTTTTAATTAAATAGAAGATCCTTTTATGAATAAAATTAAATCAATTAAACAAAAATTACATCCTATAAATTTGGATATAAAATAAACAATTAAAAGCGAAAGTTTATAAAATGACATGCTTATGAAGTGAATATAAATTCAGCTTATACTATTTGCATTAACTGAAAAGTCTGAAGATAGTTGCTTTAAAAAAGCAACTATCTTCCGACTTTTCAACAACTAATAAATTTAATATGTAAATTTGACTTTGAAATGCCATTAATAGGACTTGAACAACTTTTTTCTTCTTTTAAATTACTGGATAACTTGTCTAGATTTGTCTGACTGTCATGTTCAGAAGTATTGAGATAAAGTTCATTTGCATCACTATGTCTGGAAACAATTTATTTAAATAATGATAATATCAATCTTAATACTGAATAATCATCACCACATATTTGTGATGTTTTATGCTGTATTGCTTTCTCTTGAATTGCAAAACTTTATTCAATAAAATATTTTAAATTTCTATAATGTGACATTATTGCCAAGAAAACTTCTGAAGTTTAGAATCAACAGGACACTTAACTGGTATGCTATTCATTTTCATTCATGTTGTCAGTGACCACACCTCTCAGCATTTTATTTTGTAGATTACAGAAAAAAAAAATTATAAAAGTTATTGTAAACATTATTCAAAATTATTTTTCTAGAACAATCTAAAAAAGCCTCAAGCACTTATTCTTTCAAAAATTATATGTATTTTCAAACACTTTAAATTTACTGGTGTCCTTAAATTAAGAAAAAAACAAATTTCAATATCAGCAGCATTATTTCATATTTTATATGAAGCTGTGTTATATTGATTAACTCTCAAAAAATGAAATGGCAATAGGTTCTCATAATCAGAAAGAGAAGACAAGATAAAATAATAATTCATATAGTTAAAAAAAACTTTTAAATTTAAAGATAATAGGAAATTATATTGCTATGTCTAATTTAATTATTAAAATTCAGGAAGCTCAATCATATTAAATTGGCATCAAAACTAATAAAAAAAAACTTTAAAAATTTGTATAAAGTGATAAATCATACAAACATCTTTTTACATAATGGCATTTTAATGCTACAAAAATAAATTTTTTAATATAATTTATATAAGAAAAAATTTAAAAATTAGAATATGAATTCAGAATTCTTGAAACAAGTAAAATTGTATTCATTAATAAAATTAAAATTTTATCAAATATGTCTGAATTTTACAATAATAATAAAATTAATAAATGCACATACATTATCTGCTACGTGTATATATAATTTGATTGGATATACTATGAATCTATCCTAAATACCGAAGAAATTAGAATGTCAAATATTGATGCTATGCCAAGTTTGAATATGAACTTTATCAACTATATCTGTTATGTTAACGATTTTTGTATCTTCAAAAGGTAAATACTCCATTAGATAATTATGTTTATTTGTATGTATAATAGTATATGTTGATTGCCATCAAAATTACAATTAATGTAACAAAACAATGATTAGTATGCTTCAACAAACAATAAATAAATGCTCAAAACTTTTTAGATTATTTTGAAGTTTTTGAATTAAAATATTTCATAACATTATTAATTAAATAAGTTTTACCTTGGACATCATCTACAGTAGGCTGTTCCTTTTTGATGGAACCTTTTATATTTCCAACCAATCTAAATAAAATTAAAATTATATTAATTTCAAAATAGTGTTCAAAAATGTTTTAAATAATTAATTTAAAATTTTATAATAAAAATAAAATGTATAATACAGTTGTCCCTCGATAATCCGACAGGTATGGGACCAAAGGTGTGTCAGATTACCAAAAGTGTCCGGATTACCGAAAATAATTACATATTTCGCATTGTTTTGCTAGCAGTAACTTACAATATTCTCTACTCCAACTGTTCGAACAGAACTGCTCACATAAAACACACGAAATGTGTGTCATCGA